CTGATGAGCCAGCCAGGAAGAGGTACAGATGCAGGGAGACCATGCTCAGGGCCCCAGGTGCAGTCCCAGCAGAACGCTGAGGGCAAGGTTGCCACAGGTGGGCTTCCAGGAGGAGGTGGTGGGAGAGCTTGGTTAGGCTAAGCTGGGACGTGGGGAATGGGTGGGTGTCCAGCACTTACAGGGCCTGATGAGACTCCGGGTCGTGATTATCCAGCACACCTGCCTTCTCTCTTTCCAGTGCACACAGAGCCACACACTCTTAAGGCCTTCTGATGCCATCTAACAAGCAGGTCCTAGAAGACCTTCATGCCTGCAAACCCACACCAGGGCAGAGCTGCCAGAGCAGACAGGGTTACTGGTACCCAAAGCCAGAATTCTTGGGCTGTTATCTCAGCCTCTCCATGAGTAACCATTTGACCTCGTACAGGTCACTTAATCTCATTAGGCCTCAGCTTCCTCATCTGTAAAATGGGCTCAGGTATAATGCAGAGGCTTGTGAGGGTCAAGTAAAATCTCTGAATGTGTGAAGGGACTTTTTAAACCAGTAGTTCTCAACCCCGGCTGCACATGGGATCACTGGGACTTCTAAAATCTACCGATGGCTGGTTCCACCCCAAGAGAGACCAATTTTAACAGGTCTAGATAGCAGCCTAGGGGATGAGAGACTCCTCTCCCTGCTCTTGTCCACTAAGTACAACTGAAAACACCTGCAAACAATACAGCAGACTCACAGGACTCTGAAGGTGGAGAGAAAAAGGGGCACTGGCTAGGGATCTCAGGACTGGAGGAAACCATAGGACCTCGTGTCTCCCAACCCCCATACGGTGGCACAAGGTGACCAGGAGATGTTTGCCTCCCTTGGCCACACCAGCAGGTGTCAAGCAGGAGGCCCACTGGCACCTGGAAGCCTGGAAAGTCGGCCACTGTCTCCCACCCCCACTTCAGGGCACAGGGCAGCCAGGGAAGCACATTTCACCCCCATTGGCAGAACCAGCAACACCAGATGGACTCAGCAGACCAGAGAAGCACATCGACAAGCATTCTGAAAACTAAATTGTCATCAGAACCACTGCCCATAATGAGCCAAACCCATGCTAAGTCCAAACGGTGGCAGCCTGCTCAAATAGAAGACTTAACTAGAATCCCGAGTGTCCCAACATAGCATCCAAAATGTCCAGGAGACTCCTCACACCAAGAACCATGAAGGTAACTATTTGAACGAGAAAAGACAATCAACAGATACTAACACCAAAAAGAATAAGATGTTGGAATTATCTGAGAAAGATTTTTAAGGCAGCCGTCATAAAAATGCTTCAACAGACAATTACAAATACTCTTGAAACAACTGGAAAAGAAAATCTCACTGAAGAAATACAAGTTATAAAAAAGAGTCAAATGGAAATTATAGAACTGAAAAATAAAATTTTAAAATTCACTGGAGGGCCGGCCCCGTGGCTTAGTGGTTAAGTGCACGCACTCTGCTACTGGCGGCCCAGGTTCGGATCCCGGGCGTTCGCCGACGCACCACTTGTCCGGCCATGCTGAGGCCGTGTCCCACATACAGCAACTGGAAGGATGTGCAACTATGACATACAACTATCTGCTGGGGCTTTGGGGGGATAAAAAGGAGGAGGATTGGCAATAGATGTTAGCTCAGAGCCTAAAAGAGGAGGAGGACCTCAGCAAAAAGAGGAGGATTAGCATGGATGTTAGCTCAGGGCTGATCTTCCTCACCAAAAAAAAAAAAAAATCACTGGATGGGTTCAATAGCAGAATAGCAGGATATGACAGAGGAGGGAATCAGTGAACTTGAAGACAGAACAACAGAAATTATCCAATCTGAACAACAGAGAGAAAATAGAAAAAAATGAACAGAGCTTCAGAGGCCTGTGAGACAATGTTTGTATCACTGGAGTCCCAGAAGGAGAGGGGGAAGAGAGTGGTTCTGAACAAGTATTCAAAGAAATAACGGCTGAAAACTTACCAAATTTGGCAAAAGACATAAACCTACGGGTTCAAGAAAATGAATGAACCCCAAATAGGAAAAGCCCAAAGTAATCTACTCCAAAACACACCGTAATTAAACTTATAAAAACTAAAGACAGAGAAAAACAATCTTGAAAGTAGCCCAAGAGAAAAGACGAATTCCCATAGGGAACCACCAACGTGAGTGACCGCTGATTTATCATCAGAAACCACGGAGGCCAGAAGGAAGTGGCACCTTTTTCCTGTGCTTGAAAGACCATTGCTGTCGACGTGAACTCTATATTGGGTGAAAATATCCTTCAGGAGTGAATGGGAGATGAAGACATTCTAGACAAAGGAAAACTAAGAAAATTTTTCTCTAGTAGACAAACTTGGCTGAAGGAAGTTCTCCAAACAGGAAGGAAGACAAGGGAAGAAGGCACAGAACTTCAGAAAGGAAGAACATCAGAGTAGGTAAAAATAGGGGTGGCTATACAGACTATCCTTCTTTTCATGAGTTTCTTAAATCAATTTGATGGTTGATGAAAAAATTGTAACACCATCTGATATGGGTGCTCAAAGCTGAAGAAATACCTAAGACAACTGTAGTTTCCAAACCAGGAAGACAGAGTGGCGTAAATGGAAGTGAGGTCTCTCCACTTCAATGGCGTGGAGAGATGTGGAGGCCAGGAGCCGGTGGCCTGAGCATGGCGATTTCAGAAGCTGTCCAGGCGACTGCGGTGCATTCAGGTGGAGACCCGCTGGCTTAAGAGCCGTTAGGAACAGAGGTGAGGGCATTGGGGTTCTTGAGGCCCTGAGGCAGTGGTTCCCAAGCCTGAGTGTGCATCAGAATGCCTTGGAGGACTTATAAAAACACAGTTTGCTGGACCCCAGCCCCAGAATTCTGATATGGAAGGTCTGGGGTGGGGCCTGAGAATTTGCCTTTCTAGCAAGTTCCCAGATGAGGCTAATGCTGCTACTCAGAGACCCCACCTTGAGAACCACTGCTCCTTTGGCTGATAAAGGGCTTCTCTGTCTCAGTGGAGGGTCCCTCAGATCCTCAACCCAACAGCCTCCCATCGCCGAGTGTGCCTGGCTCTGTGTGTAAATTAGGAAGGAGATGAGTCCTGGGAGGCGCCCAGGACTGCATGTAAGTCAGGAGACTTCGTCTTGCATCCGGGGCTGGGTGACCTTGGGCAGGTCCCTCTGTGTCTCTGGACCTCAATTCCCTTTCTGTGAAATGGGAAGATTGGCCAGGTCCTTTACCTGGAGGAGCCTTGGGAGACCAGGAGGAACAAGGGACGGTGCAGTGGGTCTGGCCCCAAGCCTCTCCCCCGGCTTCTATCGCCCCAGCTCCATTTCATCTGTTTTGTGTATCAGTTCCCCTAAGATTTCATGTGACGAGAGGGTTCTTCTGCTAAAAGAAGTTTGGGAAGCCTGATCTTGATGTTGTAAAAGGCCCTTTCTGGAGCCAGCCCTGATGGCCTAGTGGTTAAAGTTCAACGTGCTCCGCTCAGTGGCCCGTGTTGGGTTCCCAGGCGTGGAACCACACCACTCGTCTGTCAGGAGCCACGCTGTGGTGGCGGATCACGTAGAAGAACTAGAAGGACCTACAACTAGAATATACAACTATGTGCTGGGGCTTTGGGGAGGAGAAGAAAGAGAGAGAGAGGAAGATGGGCAACAGATGTTAGCTCAGGGTGAATCTTTCCCAGCAAAAAAAATAAATAAAAGGGTCTTTGTGACCCACATCTGGAACCTTCCCATGAGCCACTCAGGGGCAAGTAAGTTCCCGAGGCAGGTCCCCAGCTGAGGCATCTCCTACAAGCTTTCCTTTGTCCAAATGTGGCAGAGAATTTCTTCTCTGTCTCTGTCCTCACCGAGGTTCGTGAGGAAGCCCAAGACGGAAGGCACATGGATCAGCATCCTCTGCTCAGAAGCGAGGCCTTCCTGGAGGGGGTGGGTGGGTGGCGCTGTGCATGGCTCCCACCTCACCTTTGGAGGCACGGTCCTCGGTCCTGTGTCCTATGTACTCACATGGCCTTATGAACACCTAGGGATGTGACCCGCCATCCCCTGAGCCCTCGCAGGCAGCCCGGCACCGCCCAGGAGTGACCACTGGCATTGGGCCCTCTGTGGTGTTGCCTGCGCTGCTGGGTGCCCTCCCGGTGCTGGGGGTGGGGACCCCCAGATGCACACGTGGCCCCTGCTCTTTAGGAGCCCACAGACTATGGAAGGACAGTTGAGGCAGCCGGGACAGGCCCCCTAAAGGTGCCTCCCCTGGGGAGGAGGAGGCCCCTCACTCCGTCTGGGGGGCCAGGCTCTGCCGCTTGTCCTCCCAGGACGATCCCGCACCCACCTCTGAGCCAGGGGGGCATTGCAGAGAGCTCCACCCTGCCTCCCCCAACACAGCATTGAAGAGGTGGATCGGGAGACCTCGACCTCCTGGACCCACGCAGGGCGGCCAGGGCTGTGAGCGGTGGAGGCAGATCAGGCGGTGGGATTCCTGCAGCGGAGTCCGTTTTTATCTCAAGAGAAGGTAGAAATTAGGATTTTATGTGAAATCTGTCAGTTGCAAACAGCTCAAGATTTTTTTAGATGAAGTAGTCTGCAGGCCACCTTTGGCTGGTGGTGGCCTCCATCTGCTGCCTTTGACACAAGATGGCGCAGTCCTACCCCGGGCCGGGGGGCCATCCCTGACTCTGTCCCCAGCTCTCCTGGTCTGTGGAGTGAGGAGCCTGGCCTGAGTGACAGACGATGCCAAGGCTTGGGGCTGTCAGAGAAGACAGGTGCCCTCCGGGGCGTGGGTCGGGCTCCATGGAATTCCTGGTGTCATGGGTGGGCTCAGAGACGGCACCCCCTCCCTGGCTTCTTCCTGAGCTCCCTGGGCAGAGAGGTCACCGCTGAGTCAGGGCATGGTCTTCAGGGCCCTCCCGTGTGTCACAAGCCCAGCCCCGCTGACCTGGGCCGAGCCCCTCGCACCCCTGGCTGAGCCTGCCTGCTCGCGTGACAGAGCTGTGCTGTGTCTGTTTCAGGATGCCCCTATTCCAAATCTGACCCTCTCCCAGGACATGGAAAGAATGGCTTGGACCACCGGGTAGGTACTCGACCCCTCCCCGGCACGTGGTGTACTAACCGTCGCCGCGAGCTTAAGTGCGGTTCCCACAGCTTCTTGACCACACAGCCAAGAGGAGGGGCCCAGGGGACCCCACTCGCCTGCCGCCTCTGCCTGCCGCTCCACCGCTGCTCCAGCCAGGGGCCGTGCTGCCGCTTCTCCAGACCCGGGCCAGGCCAGAACCAGGCGGCATCGCTGCCTCCCCTCTGCTCCAGGCCCCTTGTCCCCTGGGAGACCTCAGCGTGTGGGGATGGGGAGATGGGGCCACCCAGATTAATCGGACCCTCTCTACGGCCCTTCCTGACCATCCTTCTTCTGTGTCCTAGAGCCTAATAAGGACCTTACAGGATCGCGGTATTTCATGAACAATGTGATCCAAGGATCCACTTCTTTTCCTGGAATGCCATTGGCCCCTCACTATTATTACTGTCACCGTTATCACCACTGATGGTGTCGTTGGCACCACCGATGGTGTCATTAGCACCGATGATGATTAGTGTCACCATTATCACCACAGATGGTGTCATTAGCATCTATGATGATTACTGTCACCATTATCACCACTAATGATGTCTTTGACACCTACAATGATTACCATCACTATTATCACCGCTGATGCTGTCGTTGGCACCTATGATGATTACTGTCACCATTATCACCACTGATGGTATCATTGGCACCTATGGTGATTACTGGAGCCCACACACAGTAGTTGGCTTTCTCTGGCTGCTCCTGGCTGAAAGCTGTTTGACCTCCTCCTCCCGAGTTTTCCAAATCTCAGGACATCCGAATGTGAGCCCAGATAGTTTGGTGCCTGATTTGTCCCCCGCAGAGGAGCTGGGCCCATTTTTGTCCCTCTTCCCTCTGCTTCACTAGGTCTCCAGTGAGGACTCCTCGGGTGGGGTGGGCGTGATGGCACCAAAGACACCTCCTCCCCCCCACCCCCCCTACACAGACACACAGCCCAAGGAGACCTGCTGTCACCAGGCAGCGCTTCCCAGTCTGAGGCAGTCTATCCATTAGTGGAAGCAGTTCACCCCTCAAGAGTGGAGTCTCCCGTTTGTTGCACTGAGGCTGTCTTGGCAATAAGTGTGTAATGCAGGGGACAGCCTTCCCCAGGGCAGGGCCAGGCCACGGGGACCCACCTAAGAGCAGGGCACACTCACCAGAAGCCACAGGCATTCTCGGTTTTCTCCGCGTCCCTCAGGCTCTGTGGGACCTGCTGCTGTGTCCATCCTGGGCCCAGGCGCCTCTGCAGGGTGTGACCCCAGTGAGCCGCCCCCCCACCCCGCCCACTAACCGCTCTCCTGTTTGTTCCGAATGGGCCAGTTGGGGAATGCGCATGCAGCATGCCTCTCTGGATTTTCTTCTTTCTCCACTCCTCGTCCTCCATGGAAAGCCGGGGATGGGGTGGGGGGTGAGAAGGCGCCACCAATGTCCACAGGACTCCCACAGCACCAGGAAGTGTAAATCCTTAAGCTCAGTGATGGCGGTCCTAAGGGCAGTAGGGAAACTGTCTAGAATGTTCTCTGCTCACCTGGAACAGCTGTTCTCTGACTCAAGGGCCCATGAGGGTGTTAGTCCAGGACCAGAACATGCTAAGGTGTTACACCCCGAAACCAAGTCCTGGGTTTTTTCCTCAATTTGTGGAAGACAAGAGAAGAATTCTCTGCATTTCTGGTCTTGCATCAGTGGTGTCTGGCTCGTGCATCCTCTGGGGAGATTGCCTCCTTGGTTCACACACTGGAATGACCTGGGTGGATGCCTCGCAGCACCTGCAGAGGAGGCCACGGCCTCCAGACGCTCCACCCCTGAAAGAGTTTGGGAACAGCTGATCCAGACATTCCGGTGGAGACACCAGCTTCATTCCCTGTCCCAGAACAGAGAGCAGAATCAGGCTTTACAGAGTTCAGAGCTGACCCTCTGTGAATGTCTCTCCTGCTGGCCTGAAGGGTGCCAAGCGGACCGTTAGAATCCTGTGCGTCCTGCATGTGCTTGGGGAGTCAGGACAGATGGAATTCATCGGCTCATGAAGATTTTGAGGTTTTCACCTTGCTTATGTGGGAGATGGGTGAAGATTACTGGTGACTTTGCCTCCGGAGTCTTTTTTCCCTGCTAACGTTCTCTCCTATCCTTTTTTCACTCTTCCTAAGACTCTTAAGTAATTTTATGCCTATTTCGCAGGGGGAAGGCCAGACAATTGATCTTTTGAGTGACCAGCCTTTTACCGTGCACCTGTGCTCGGCACCTGGCCTGTCGCCCTTCACCCTGGAGGCCTCCGTGAGCGCGTGTCCATCCCCTATTGTCCGTGGCCTGCGGTGCTCCCATGTCACCTATTAAGTTGTTCTTTGGCTTGTTTCTACTTCCAGAAAGGCTTCCTGGTGGCCTAAAAGCACAGATGCGGTGAGACCAAAAACCCGTTAACACAACTCACCAAGGAGGGAGGAGGAAGTCATAGAAGAAAATTACATCCAAAACAAGCAAAAGAACACTGCATGAGAACAACCGTCGAAGGTTTCTCTGAGCCTCCTGATAGGCAGGGCGTGGAGGCAGACATGGCCAGTGTGTAGTTCTCTTTGTCGAAGGAAGGAAGGAATCAGTGAATTGGGCAAGGCAGAGGTTTTCCTGGTTCTTGCTCTGGGGGGATTTGTCACAAGGGGCCAGCACCATATGTCCCAAAGCTTGTTAAGATGTCCTGATAACCAGCCTGCCACAGAGCCTGACACATGGTGGATGCTCACACCTCTCTGTGGAACAAATAGGGAGATGGCCGCCTGGTGCGGACTTCCCTGTGGATGAGACAGCAGAGGCCCCAACATGCACCACCTGGTCTGCTGTTAAGAGAATGACCACTGGCCACTGACGGATCCTGTAGTAGCCCCTTGGAAGGAGTCCCATTTTGAAAAACCCTGATGCTAGATATGGACAGACTGAATTCTCCTACTAGAAGACAGAGACTGTCTGATTAGGTTATGAAAAAGAGAGGAGAAAAACATGCATCAAGATAAACACAGAAATTATTTTTTAAAGGATTAGAAGTCAAAGGATAGGAAAGAGATACCCAAATCACAAATAGAAAGGAAGCACAAGTGGCAATATTAATATCAGATAAGGTGGGAGTTAAGGTTAAAGTGAATTAGTAGGATTAGTGACATGGAGAGAGAACACTAGTTCATGATGACGTTATAAAGCACGTATAGCATTCATAAATTTAAGTGCACCAAGCAACCTGGCAATGCCAGAGACCTTGATAAAATACGAGTATGGTAGGCAATTTGAATGTGACTTTTTTGAAATTAGACATATGGATCTAGTAAATAAAGAAAAAATAATAGAAAGCATAAAGAGCGATTGAATAGTGCAAACAGCAAACTTAATCTAATGGGTATATGAAAAAAATTCCTGTCTTTTGAATCAGGTTTTCATATGTCCGTAAAACATTTACAAAAATGTTCATTTATGTGACTGCAAAGAAAATGTTAACAAATTTAAAAAGTCTGATATTTTCCAACTGTAATGCTGGACAGAACATGTGTGTTAGCCTCAGACAGCCCTGAGTTCAAATCCCAGCTCTGCCACTGACTGGCTGTGTGTTTGGGCAAGTTATTTAAATTTTCTGAGTCTCTGTTTCCTAGTCTTTAAAAAAATTATCCTTACCTCTTAAGGTTACTATGAGGACAAATCACATTATTATTGCACATTATTTTGTGCAATCTTCTCATAAGCTCTATAGCATGGTTCCCAGATGTGTAATTGTTGTAAAAGCAAGTCCTTACCTCTTCAGAGCTTTAGCAAGAAAAGAACAATGGCCAGTGATGAATGGCCACAATTTTATTCTCACTATTATCAATCCCAGTATAATTTTTGGAAAGTAAAACGGACGAGTTAAAATTTTTACGGTTGCACGTATTAGCTGTGTGATCTTGGGCAAGTTGCTTAACCTTTCTGAGCCTCATCCATAAATGGTGATAATGCCCCCCTCCTGGGGTTGCAGCAAAGATTAGTGAACATGTCTGTAGAGAAGGTGGCATGTAATAACACCAGACAAATGGGAGAGGTAAGCAACTTGTTGCTTTTAAATTCTCTGTTGCCTCCGCTGAGAACTAGAAGGGGATCAGACAGGGATGTGCCTGTTGGCACTGCCTTTGGGGGTTCCCCGGGCCACTTAGTTCCCGGGCCAGCCTACACATTGAGGCGGGAACTCAAGGCTCCCTTGCACCAGAGAGGTCTTCAAGACCCCAGCCCCACTGGGCACTTAGAAGACCAGGAGTAGACTGCTCTTGCCCTGCTCTGGACAGATCAGGTGCTCCCCATCTCCACCTGGAAGATGCCTCACCCTCCCTTCTGGGAGCCTCTGGCTTGTCTCAGAGCCCAGAGGACCAGACGTAGCTGGCTTTGCTGCTAGAAAGCAGGTTTCCAACTGCCCAAGATGGCAGCGGGGCCCGGAGTTCTGACAGCCTGTGATGCAGAACGGCAGGCACCAGAGGGCGGCATTTCTCTTTCATGTCACAGATAGGCCAGGTGGCAGAAGGCAGGCGGGTGGCAGGTTTGCTTGCTTTACGCAGGACCAGACAGGTGCACTGGGGTGCTCGTCAGTGTCCCGAGAACGTGTCTCAGAAAGTTGTTCTTGACAGCGCCTAAGGAGAATTACTGCATGAAGTGGAGGAGGTCCCGGAGGGACACTGGGCGGGTGCGCAGACACCTGGCTCAGGGCCCCAGTGCTGGGACTGGGTGAGGCAAGCGAGGCACTAACCCAGAGACTCAGCAATCAACATAAACCGTGTCTGAATGCAGTGTTTCCAGAATCCAGGTGAATGCAAAAAATCGACGAGGAACTACATATCAAAAATTTAAAGGCTGGCGCCAGCCCTCCATGCTCACCCCACTCACCACCCTAGTCCCGGCTTCTCTCACGGCCTCAGTTTCCCCTATTTAGGAGGCAGGACTTTGCACTCGGGGCTTTCTGAGGTCTTTCCTGCCCCCACACTCTCAGGGACCAGGACCAGCTCCTCACTTGTCACCTATTGCGATGAATTAGTGCTGAGAGCACTTCTCTCTGTAACGGAACCCAGCAGTGAAGAATGCCACCTCCCTTTTAACTGCGAAACTCTCCCTTGAAATTTAATCCCTGCGCCCAATTTCAGAGGCGATGGCCAAGAGCGCTGAGCCTGTGTCGGGCCTGGCACCAGGTGCTGGGGACCTGAGCACAAAGAAAACATTTTTCTTCAAGGAGATCAGTCTTCTGTGGGCAGCAGACGTACGGCCACAACAGAGCCTGACTCAGTGCCAACACCAGGGGCAGGAGGTGGACAATAGTGGGCTCAACGACCCCACCGGGCCTTGGCGCACGCGTACGGGGCGGGACCCTCCGTGGAGGTTTGTGGGATGTTGTTTTCAGGTGGGCAGGAGGGAAAGAGAATCCCAGACGTTAGTGGTCGCGATGCACTAAAATGGCCAGTTTGCTGATGATGCTGTGGGCAGGTGAGGAAGACACTGAGATAGGTGGTGGGGCTCTCAGGTCCACGTCCCTCGGAGGGTCACCCCCTGGGTGTCACCATCAGTCACAGCCACTCTGTATGGAGTGCTCACGACACTCCAGGCTCTGTCCCGGGGGCCACCCGAGCCCCTGGGGATGGCGGGGTCTGGAGGGGAGCAGAGCCCACCGTGGACAGCCTCAGGACTGTGCTGGAGCCCCACCTAGTGGGCCGCCCGCTGGGGTCCATGCAGCTGCAGAGCCGAGGGCCCAGGCGCCCGGGAGCCGTCTTGAAAAGCGGGTAGAGTTGCCTGGACAGGCAGGGTCAGCGGTGGCCTGGAAGGCGTCGGGAGACCTGTGAGCGGACCTGCCAGGTGTGAAGCCAGCACGCCCTGGTGGGTGTGGGTGTCCAGCATGCCCATTCCTGAGCGGGCATTGTGAGGCACGGTGATGCCGACCCCTCCTCCTGCCCGGCTGCGAGGACCCAGGCGCCCTGCCTGCCCCCGCAACCTGCCTCCCGCCGTCCTCTCTCTTTCTTTTCCAGAATGCCAATCTGGCCCCTTGTGGAGCAGACCCGGATGCCAGCTGGGGCACGCGAGGTACAGAGCTGGGACCCCCCGTGGGTCTCTGGCTGGGGCAGGGGTCACTAACACGTTTCCACAAGTCTCATTCTGAAACCGCTCCCCTCCAGGGCCAGCTGGCAGGAGGCTCTGAGCACCGCGGAGTGGAGGGGGTCTGGGGGGCACTCAAGGATCGGTTTACCTCCCTTCTAACGTTACCACAGGCGCTCTCCCCGCCTACCTGATGTGCTCCCTTCCCTCCTACCTCAGGTGCTCCGTTCTGTCCCCTCCTTGAGGACAGCCAACCCCCGGCCTGACTTACTCATCACTCCAGGTCACGTGGGGAGAGAGATCTGTGTTTGAGTGACCGTCCCAGGGCAGAGGCCGACCTAACACCCACTGTTAAATTTAGTGACAATAAGGGAAGCAGAGTCGTGGGCAAGAAGCCCCAGGGTCTGAGCTGAACGAAGTTGGATCCAATCCTGCCTTCCCCCTTGCTCGCCGTGTGGCCTCCCCAAGAGGGCTGCCTGCTGGGAGGTCGGTGTTGCTGGAGGGACCCTGGAGTGGCGGGTGCCTGATGGAGGGCCGCTCTGCTAGTTCTGAGCCTGTCCTGTGCTGGTGCAATGCTCGCTCACCCCATTGTCACCCCGAGGATGATGGGGGAGCCTCGCTCTCGTGGGGATCCCATGTGGCACGTGGGGACATTCAGGGACCGGCCCCCATCGCCTGGGCCCCACGCCAGGGTCTCCCTCCTGAGACAGGCTTGCAGCCCAGTGCCTTCGTGGGTTCTGCGGCTCACAGAGGCCCTCCCATCTGTACGATTTTATTTTCTCACAAGATGCTTTTGGTCTGGGAGAAAACCTTTCAAAAAGCTAGCGGGCAGAGCTCAGTCATTTACAAGGAGGAACTAGAGAGTTAAGAAGGGAGGACGGTAAGAGGCTGCGGTTAGGCCCTACTGAGGCTGTCAGTCTCCACAACGTGCCCTAGAGGTTGCCCCGGAATGCCCACTCCTCAGGGGGGTAAACTGAGGCAGGCAGCTTCCTTAGGGCGACCTGGACCACCAGAGGAGACAGTACCACAGCCCAGGGACACAGTGCCACGTTCGGCTCCCAGTCTGGCCTCCAGCCTCCTGACCATGCCTCCTGCTCTTGGTTTCCTCTGGAGACCCTCAGAGCCCCTCCCGCTGTGGCTCCGAGCAGTAGAGCCCGTGCAGGCCGCTGGGGGATGGGGAGACCAGCCGACTGCAGGGGGTGGGGCGGGGGTGTCCCCAGGACGGGATTGCTTCCACCTTTGGGACGAGTTCTTGTGCTTTCTAAACAACCCTGTGGTCTCCGCTCTCTCTTACAGAATACAAGGTAAGAGGGCCGCCCGCTCGCACGCCGACCTCGTGCCGCCGCACCTGCCCAGGTTAAAAGTTCCTTTTCTTGTGCTTTCCCTGTGATTGTGTGTGTCAGTTGCGGACGCAAGTATGTGCCTCTCCGCTGGCCTCGGGCTCAGCGCCTTGGCCCCAGCGTGCGCTTGCTTCCCGGGCTGAGCCTGTGGTTCTCCCTGCAGGTCTATCCTTATGACGCGCTCATCGTGACAAACCGGATCCGCGTGAAACTGCCCAAAGATGTGGACCGGACGAGGCTGGAGGTGAGAGGGGGCTCCCGGGGCGGGGGGCTCATTCCGGTCGAGTGATTCTCTGCAGATGCCTCATCCACGGCGTCAACACTCATCGTCCCCTGAGTGTCCCCGTGGGGGTTGGTGCAGGGCAGGGCAACGGGTTCGGGGTCAAGGACCTGTGTTGTTTCAAAGGCTTTAGTACATGGTGGCTCTGCAAAGAGAGGCTCAGCTGTTTGCAGTTTGGGGCGGGAGAGGCTTCGTAACATGCTTCGCTCAGTGATATCCTCCTGCTCTCCGAGGACTGGTGCTGACAAAAGTGTCACAGGTCGTGCCTTCTCATGTGACCGCATTCTCAGAAATCTAGAATCATAAACTGGTCTGTGGAGAGCAAGTCTATGTGTGAAAGACCCAACAGGACGCCAGCGCAGCATCAGTGTTGGGACAGTGTTTGTTGACTGCAGGAGCTAACCTTGCTGAGCACCTGTTGTGAGCCGAGGTCCAAATACTTGACTTAATCCTCACTGTCATCCTGCAGAGTGGGCGACGTCCAGCCGACGGACGTCCCCTCGGAGCCGGGTCATGAATGTGTCGCTGCCTTTTAATGACTATCTTGCTGGGGGTGAGGGGTCTGGAGATCTAAAGGCCGGAAGCCAACATCCCCCACCCACGCCCCAGGGCCAGGCGCACAGTAGGTGCTGGGAGCATCTGAGGCTTAGTGTGTGTCTGGTCCGTGCCAGACCCTGCCGACTGCCCACCCGGGCAGTGGCTCAGGCGGCTGCTGGGAAGGGAGCAGTAGAGGCGTGGACACAGCTGAGGGCTCCAGAGGGCTGCCAGGAGGAAGCCGGATCTGTAAACAATTGCCGTTTAAGATGGGGCAGACAGAGGCCCAGGCGGGGAGCAACGGGGAGGGGTGGGAGGGCCGTCCAGCACTCAGGAGGAAGCACCCAGCTGGCCCTTGAAGGAGGGACAGGACTGACATCAGCAGAGAAGGGAGAGCATGAAGGGTCTTTCAGGCCAAGGGACCCTGTGAGTAAAGGCTTCAAGGGGGGCTTGTGGGGCGTGCCCTGGACAAGAGGGGAGGCCTCACCAGTGCCGCTGAGCAGGCACCAGCCTCCCTGCACTCGCTAGTCCTGTGCTCTGGAGCCTCATTCCCACACCCTTAAGATGAGGACACTGACTTCCACTGGGTGGGTCGCTGTGCACATGCGAGATCACGTAGAGCCCCTTGCCCAGGACATGGCGGGAGCGGTGGCCAGGAGGGGAACGGGCACGCTGGTGTGGCTGCAGCGCTGGGTGGAGGCACATCCATTTTGACCCTTTCTGTTGCAAATGATAGAAGCCTGACCCAGGGTGACTTAAGCAAAAAGGGAGTTACCAGCTCACAAGACTGACAGATTCCTTCAGGTGTGGCTTGTTCACGTCTCAGGACCCAGTTTCTTTCCTTCCGTCTCTTGACTGGGCTTCCTCTGTGTGTGTTGGCCTCACTGATAGACAGACTTTCACCTCCCCTCTCCCAGCCTCAAAGTCTGCAGGGAAGAGACTCAGCTTCTGCGCTCTCTCTCTCTCTCCGTCTCTGTCTCTGTCTCTCTCTCTCACTCTCTCTATCTTTGTCTCTCTCAGCAGTCCCAGCCAACGCCTCATGTCCACCTCTAGGTGGGTAATCTGACCAGCCCCGAATCAACCAGCTTGACGGGGGGCTGTGATGCCCCCGCTGGCCAGGCTCAGGCACAGGCCCACACCTAGAGCTAGAGGACAGCTGAGGCCAGCGGAGCTGAATGGACCCAGGGTGGCTCAGAGCTCTGGGACTGGTCCCTAAAGATGGGGAGGAGGGTGCCGGGCCACGTGCAGACAGCCAGTGTCCAGCCGCAGGGAGGGGGGCACTGAGGCTGGGGAAGAGGGGGCAGCAGGGCCCAGCAAGCCCGCCGATGCTGCGGCCGGCCAGTGCAGTCAACCTGCCGAACCCCACGGTCACCCAGGACGTGTGGGGCATCGGGCCGGGCAAAGGACCACAGAGACCAATGACACAGGGGCCCGCTCAGAAGGCAGGCACTTTAGCAGGACATCTGGACCTTACCCCACAGAAGAGGAAGGACCACTGAAAAGTTCTGACCTGTTAGGATAAGCGAGGGTCATCCATGGGTGGGGTGGCGGGGGCCAGCTTGGGAGCTGGTGTGTGAGGCCCGGGGAACAGGAGGCCCCCGGTGCGGCCCCCGGCGCGGTCCCCGGCCCGTGGAGCGCTCAGAGAGCACAAAGGCACAGAGGAGGCCCGGGATCCAGCCTCACGCTTGATGGCTGCCCGCCGTGTGGTCTGGACGACCGGGTCCCGAGCAGCCTCTCTTTCTCTTCGGCTCCTGCTGAAGTTGAGTCCTTGTTAATTGTGCGATCGTGTCCCAAAGACAAATGCTACAACTGTAAAGTGGGTGCTTCCAGCCCGCTGGGTGGCTGGCCCAGCCAGGAACCACCCGGAGTGTTCCTATTTGTTGTGTCTTTGTTCCTTAAAGGGCGCGTGCCCTGTGGGTTAATCGCTCTCAGCACAAGAGGTGAGCTCAGAGCGGATGCCAGCGCTCCTGGCACAGCGGCAGCCTCGGGGCCGGGAGCCTGTGGAATTGGCTGCTTCCTTCTTGGGACTGGGGTGCACTTTAAACAACTCCCATCCCACCCCCTTTTTTTTGCTACAATGCAGAATGAAAGGTGCAAAATATCAAGTGGTTAATACATATACATGTTCCCTTTTAAAAAAAAAAACTCTAGGGGCCGGCCCGGTGGCGTAGTGGTGAAGTGCGTGCGCTCTGCTGCGGTGGCCCGGGGCTTGCCGATTCGGATCCTGGGCGCGCACCGACGCACGGCTTGTCAGGCCATGCTGTGGCGGCGTCCCAGATCAAGTGGAGGAAGATGGGCACGGATGTTAGCCCAGGGCCAGTCTTCCTCAGCAAAAAGAGGAGGATTGGTAACAGATGTTAGCTCGGGGCTAATCTTCCTCACACACACACACACAAAAAACAAAAACTCTGATGCCTCGCCGGGTAAGGGGTTAATCACTCAGATCTTCAGGAACACACCCAAGGGTGCGTCTCTGTAATCATTCTCCTCCTCAGCTCAGCCAAGCCGGGAGGCAAACTGGAAGTGTTACCACAACTGGGGCAAGTCCCACATTCTTCCTTAGGGGCTTGGAGCTGGGAGGTGAGTCAGGAGGGGCTCAGGAGGGGCTCAGGTGGGGCCGTGTCCCAGCAGGAGAGGGAGAGCCACTTAGATTGTAATTTCAGGGGAGAGAGCTTTATTTTTAATATAAAAGCAATTCATAACTCTTGTAAAACTCCAGAAAAATACAAAAAAGGATGTAAACATCACATGGAATTCCCCCACCGAGTCGTGACTCCTGAGAGCTCTGTAGTGGACATGCTTCTGGAAATCTCTTTTTGCACAAACCCAGAGATAGCTGAATCCTGTTCTGGATAAGTAGACTTGCACCGTTTGTGGAATCTGACATCTGCTTTTTTCTTTTAAATTTCACGTGTACATTTTCCACGCCAGTTAATGTGGATCTGCCTATCCTTTTAAACGGCTGCTTGGTGGTCCCTGGTCCACGGGGAGAGTCCAGGGCCAGGCTGTCGAGTGGCCGACACTGCTTGTGCTCACGCCCCATTGGCTGGAGCCTGGTCACAGGGCAAAGCCACGTGCAAGGCAGGCTGGTTGGCCCTGTGCCCAGAGAGGAGCAGATGGGTTCGGTGGACGCTGCTGGTGCCACCACGTCTCTGCAGGGTCATTCCCTGGAAGGAGGTCTGCTCCATCGAATGCACAAGGCGCATTGTCGATCCTTACCGCCACAGCGTTAGCTGAGTCTTCATTCATTTGATCAGCAGGTGCCAGGCACAGAGCTGGGGCCTGGGGCTGCGTGATGAGCAAAAATCGGCATACGCTCTGCCCTCACAGACTCAGTCTGACAGGGGAGACAGCCATCAATCACCTGATAACCCAGATGAGTGTGTATAATTGTACACTGAGGTAAGGGCTCTAAAGGGGAGGAACATGGGCCTGTGGGTAAAAATTAGCTTTGTGCAGTAAGTGTGCCTGCATGTGTGTGTGTGTGTATGTATATGTGTAAGGTGAGGGATGGCAGGTGGGAAGAGAATTCTAGGAAGCGCACACTGCACATGCAAAGGCCCTGGGGCAGGAGGAAGCATGGGCTGTTTGAGGAGGACCTGTAAGAAGGCAGAGGTGGCTGTGCTGCAGCAGGGTGATTGAGAAGGGGCCAGGCCTTGCGGGGCCCTGGCCCATGTTATGCAGTTTCATTTTTAGCCTACGAGCAATGCTTTTATGTTGTGGGAACTTAAACACTTAAAACAACGCCCGTGGCTGCATTGTGAAGCCTGGGCGGCTATGTGGGTGCAGAGAGACTGTTTAGGAGGCAGTGGGTTGTCCGGGCAAGAACTGATGGCCTCGTGGACAGAGTGGTGGCAGTGCTGAGACGAGAAGCGAGTGGATTCAGGGGATATTTGGGAGGTCGAGGGGGCAGGACTTGGTGATAGACGGTGCATTGCGGTGAGGGGCAGGGACGTGCCTGGCGGGCCTCAGGGCACCGGGGTGGGGGGTGGGTGTAGTGGCGGTCACTCGGTGGGGCAGGACAAGCCCAGACTCTGACCATGGCTAACACTCTCGCCGACGAGGCAGGGCCGAGGGGAGTTGGGCTGTTCAGCCTGGCTGAGTGAAAGGCACACGGGGGTGTCTGGGGCACATGGGGGGCTCAGTCCTTGTTGGTGACAGGAGAGGCGGGCAGGCCTCTGCGGCTCTGGAGGTGCGGGACACGTAGAAGGCGATCAGGTGAGGCGTGGGATCTCAACGGCAGAGCAAGGTCAGCCTGCCGACCTCCAGGAGTGTAATGCCCTTCCCAGACCCAGCGCTCCCTGTCCTGGAGGCTCTGGGTCCCCGCCCCGCCCCTGGGACCCGAGGGTCCCGGGCCTGGGAGGATCTCAGACCCTTCCTGCATTTGGCAGTTACTCTCTGAGGGTCTGCACTGCCATGGGAGTGAGGGG